AGCAGCCGCCCCAGCCGCAGCCCCTGGAGGAGCCACCGCAGCAGCAGCAGCCCTGGGAGCAGCAGCCCCTGGAGCAGCAGCAGCAGCGGCAGCCCTGGGAGCAGCCGCCCCAGCAGCAGCCCCTGGAGCCGCCCCAGCAGCAGCAGCCCAGGGAGCAGCCACCCCAGCCGCAGCCCCTGGAGGAGCCACCGCAGCAGCAGCAGCCCCGGGAGCAGCAGCCCCTGGAGCAGCAGCAGCAGAGGCAGCCCTGGGAGCAGCCGCCCCAGCAGCAGCCCCTGGAGCCGCCCCAGCAGCAGCAGCCCCGGGAGCAGCTGCCCCAGCAGCAGCAGCCCCGGGACCAGCCGCCCCAGCCGCAGCCACTGGAGCAGCCGCCCCAGCAGCAGCCGCCTCTGGGGCGGCCACCCACGCTGCAGCAGCCCCTGGAGCAGCAGCAGCCGCCCCAGCAGCAGCCCCTGGAGGAGCCACCCCAGCAGCAGCAGCAGCTCCAGGAGCAGCCGCCCCAGCATCAGCCCCTGGAGCCGCCCCAGCAGCAGCCCCTGGAGTAGCAGCCCCAGCAGCAGCAGCCACTGGAGCAGCCGCACCAACAGCAGCCGCCCCTGGCCCCTGCAGCAGCCGCTCATGGACCAGGTGCAGCCGTGGGGGGTGAGTGTGGGGGTGCTCGTTGTGGGGGTGTCGGTTGTGCGTGCCGTCCCCTCCTCCTCCTCCTCCTTCGTCTCCCACTGCTACAGCTCTCGCTGAGGGGGGTGGTTGTGTGGGAGTCTTGGGTTTAGGGTTTAAGGGGGGTGGGTGGGAGTGGAGCTAGCGGTATAGCAGCGGGTGTGTGTCGGGGGGGGTGGGACTTTTTGCGGGAGGTTGAGTGGAGGCTGCCAGCTTGTTGTCCGCAGCACCTGTAGTCCGGGCGCTTAGTCCGGTAGCCCAGTGAGCGTGTCGTTGCGTCAGTCGCCTGTGGGTCCGTTGCCCGTCTGCCGCTACTTGAGCCGCGGGGCCTGTTACTCCTGTAGTCCGGGCGCTTAGTCCGGTAGCCACTGTGCTCGCCACTCCTGTTGCCCGTGTGTCTGCAACTTCAGCCGCCGCCTTCTATCTCCTCTCCTCTCACTCTCCCTCCTCCTCCTCACTTGCCCGTTGTGACCACCACTAGCTTTGCTGATAATTGTGCACTTTAACTATTGCTTCTTGAACTTGTGCTCAGAATGCGTGGTGACATTGTGATCCACCCTGAGCTTGTACTGCTTTGCCTGCTCTGCTGATTACACCCCACTTTGGCTATGGGGGTGTGTCATAATATATTTGCTGTCTAGCCTGCAGTGGGGTACTCTGTAATGAGTACAACCCAATTTAGGGCATTGTACTTGTATCCCAACTCTTGCTAGTGAAACCCCTTCTCTTTCAAAAATATCTCGATACTTTCCTAACCCTCTCGAACTCGATCACCTAGGCACCTACACTATGGCTTCTAAGCCTACCCTTGCTTAAGATTCTGAGAGCAAGCTGAAACGTGGCAGGAAGCGTGGGGGTGCCACAGGTACATCAAAGAGGCACAAGGTGGTGGATAGCAACACCATGGCTACCAACGAACCAGAGGTCCCCGACAATGCGGAGAGTGGGGGGACGGCCCCTGTGAGCGAGCAGGGCGGGGGCGCAAAGAACAAAGAGCAGGAAGAGCGAGGGGAAGACACTGGTGCACATGAGAACACGTCAGGCCCTGCTGCATAGTGGATTTATAGACAAAGCATATGGGAGACAGGTCGTGCACGTAGTTGCTTAGTTTTGTATTGCATGTCAGAATAATATATAATTCTATATATTGTTCTATAACTGCCCGTAGTGTAGAATACTGTAGTCATATAACTTTGTGTTTGGTGGTGCACCTTTCTTGATTCTTGCCTACTTGTACTGCTCGCTCTATAGTGAACAACCTCTTTTGGCTAATCTCTCGACCCCTTCCTCTCGTAACTCTCGTTCTACCCTCAACCCAAGTCCTAAGTCAACTTAGGCTTTTAACATGTTATCAGAGCGGTTCCTATCCTAGGACCTGTTTTTTTTTTCCCATGGGCCCACCGCATATCGCTCCTGCCATGGCGCTCGTCGCGGCCCCAGCTGTGCCCGTTCAGGCGCTCGTTGCGAATGTTGAGAAGTCGAGCGTGGCGAGCTTGGCGCTGTTCGTCGCGGCCCCAGTCGTCGGCCCCGTCGCCTGCCCATCGCGCCCTACTGCAGCCTCGTCATGCCCTGTCGCGGCCCCGAGCGACTGCATCGACGGTCGCTTTGGGGGGAGGCAGCGGGTGTGGCAGCCGAGCTGCTTCAGTCGCCAAACGCGCCCCCTGCCCCGCCCTCCCGTCGAACATGCGGCTGCTACTACTGCAGCTGCCCCGCAAGCGACGGCGAGTTGTGCGACGGCGCTCGTCGCGGCACCCGTTGCATCCCCCCGCTACCCGCGATCTCGCCAACGCCGACCACGCCCGCCGCCATGGCTTCCGCTGTGGACGAAGGTGTGGCGGGGAAGGGGGGGAGGGGGAGGCGCGAGGGTGGCTGACGCCACTCTGTTCGCTGCTGCGCCACACCGCTACGCCGCCACACGCCGTCCCTTCTCTCTCCCTGCTGCGCGTGCAGCAGTGGGGGGGGAGGGTTTGGGGTGGCGGGTGTGAGCAAGAAGCTGCCACCCCTCCTCTCTCTCTCACTGCTGCACGTGCCACTATGGGGGGAAGAGTGAGGGGGCGACGGAAGTCAGCCGTCATCTGCTGCTGTCGCCCGCTGCTGCCGTGGCACCTCCAGCTGCCGCCCCTGCCGCCACCTGCCTTTGCTGCCTTTGCTTCTGCTACCTGCTGCTGGGGCCTGCAGGTGCTGCCGTCGAGCCGCTGCTGTCCTGCTGCATGTTGCAGCCACAGAGCCTGCTCCTCAGGCGACCTGCCACCCCTACACCTTCTACTGTTTCTGCCTTGGCCGAGGGGTTGGTACAGCTGGATCTGCCATCACTGCACCGGTTGCCACTGCACTTGCCTGTTGCTGTAATTTCCGCTGCGGCCTGTTTGGTGTACCCCATTCTGGGGGCGTTGATTGCACATTCTTTCCTACAGGCACTTATGGGGGTGTGTCAGAATGTTATTATCTAGCCTGTAGTGGGGTGCTCTATAGCGAGTACAACCCTATTAGGGTTTGCTATATGTATCCCAACTGCTGCTAGTGAACCTCCTTCCTTCTTCATTCTCAACTTTCTACTCCTAAACTTGACATGCTATCAGAGCAGGTCGATCCCCTTGGGTCGATCCTGTGGGTGGGCCCACCACCTCACTGCTTCCGCTGCTACTGCTACTCTGTGTGTTGCATGCCCCGTGGCGTGCAACGGATTTTTCATCCCGCCGCACGCTCCGAGCGTGCGGCGGTTTTCTGCCCGCCATGCGCCCCGAGGCGCGCGGCGGTTTTCTGCCCCGTCACTCCGCGCGTCGCTCCTGGGAGGCGCTGCGACGGGCGACGGGGACCCGCGCGTCGCCCCCCGTCGCCCGTCGCGGCCTGCGCGACCTGCATAGGGCCCGCGCGCGGCCCGTACAGCCTGCGCGCGGCCCGTACGGGCTGCGCCAGGCCCGCACGCGGCCCGTACGGGCTGCGCCAGGCCCGCGCGCGGCACGTACGGGCTGCGCCAGGCCCGCGCGCGGCCCGTACGGGCTGCGCCAGGCCAGGGCGCGCCTCAAACCGCCCGCGCGCGGTTCGTACGGGCTGCGCTAGGCCCGTGGGCGCCCTGTTTTCTCTTCCCCTGAGCTGCCTGCTGTCCCCCGTGCTTCTGACGGCGCCCCACCCCTGCTGCTGCCCGTTCTCCTGAATTAGGGTTTGGGGTGGGGGGTATGGGGGTGCAGCTTCTGTGTGCCGTCCCCTGCTCCTCCTCCTCCTCCGTCTCCCAGTGCTGCAGCTGCCGCTGAGGGGGGTGGATCTGTTGGAGCCGTCGGAGTGGTACTAAGGGGGGGTGAAGGGGGAGTGGAGCTAGGGGTGAAGCAGGGGGTGTGTGTCAGGGGGGGTGGGACTGTTTGGGGAGGTTGAACGGAGGTTGTCGTCGTGTCGTCAGCAGCACCAGTAGTCCGGGGCGCTGCTCCGGTAGCCCAGTCGCAGCCAGCTGTGCCAGTCGCCCGTGGGTCCGTTGCTCGTCTGCCGCTAGTTTTAGCCGCGGAGCCAGTTACTCCAGTAGTCCGGAGCGCTGTTCCGGTAGCCGCTGTGCCAGTGTGACTCCTGCTGCCCGTGTGTCTGCAGCTTCAGCCGTCGCCTCCTATCTCCTCTCCTCTTGCAGTCTCGCTTCCTCCTCCTCACTTGCCCTTTGTGAATGACTCTAGCTTTGCTTGCCATTGTGAACCTGCTCTATGACTCTGTGCTCTGCTGATTACACCCCACTTTGGCTATGGGGGTGTGTCAGAATGTTATTAGCTAGCCTGTAGTGGGGTGCTCAATAGCGAGTACAACCCTGTTAGGGTTTGCTATATGTATCCCAACTGCTGCTAGTGAAACCCCTCCTTTCTTCATTCTAAACTTTCTACTCCTAAACTTAACATTGCACTTGCTAATGTACAACGCTTGCTGTAGTGTGCATCTATGCATGTGTAATAAACGTTACGATGTGTGCGTACATGGTGTGACCGACATGTGTTGTAATCCGGTTGTGTAATCGTGCACTTGGTGTGCTATATTACGAAGTGGTGTATGAAATCACTGAATACCAAGAACCGGTTTGCGAGCCTGATGGCAGCACAAACGAGGACAATGGATACGGTTATGTCAACAGGATGTGCGCAGTGTGTGGTTCTGCTGTGCACACATGCATCACTAGGTACGTTGACGTGGTGTCCATCTATTCGTCGTTTCGGATTGCGATCATCCAGATGTGTACGTGGTAGTTTTGCCTACCAAACTCATTGTGTACACGGTGCTCCGGCGTGTTAAGAATTTGGGCCCCCAACTTTGTGTAGAAATATCGTATTGAGCGTCATTGTGAAAGCAACTCACTGCATACTTCCCTTGCGAAAATGGATACCTCAATTGTTTCCGACGATACGAGGGGTGGAGGCCGGTCGCGACGTGTCTCACTCCCGCCGGCGTACCTGCGAGCGTCGTACCAGCTGACGATGCCGCGAGGTCGACTGTCGAACGGGAAACGTGGGGCGACCATTCCTAAGCGCCTGAGCTTAGCCAAGAAGGGAAAGGAGGTGGTGCAGCCGGAGCAAGGTATGCAGCCCGAGCATGTGTGGATGTGTCATGACGTTATTACTGTTTTTTGTCCGCTCTGAACAAACTCGGGCCCCAGTGACATGCCATTTGCTAACTTGGGGTGTTGTGCCTTTGTGGTGTTTCGCTCACCCACAGATGACGGGACGGGCGCCGAAAGTGCAGATTCGTCCGAGCGCAGCGAGGAGGATGACGAGGAAGGCTCAGACACATCGACCAGCGCCTCACACGAAGAATCCGCCGACCCTGCTCCGGAGGCGAAGACGAACGATGATGGGTGTGCGGGAACCGCTGCGCCCAATGCTGACATGCGCGCAAGCCAAGGCGCGCGGGACACGGATGTGCCTCGAGGTGACGGCCGAGGACATGCGGACAGACCTGTGGACCGCACATGTGGGAACACGTTGAACCCAAACGGCGATGACGTGCGCATCCCGAGCAGGGTCCTCGAGCAACTTATACAGGCTCAGGACAAGAGCGCCAAGGAGAACGCGCGGTTGGAGGCGCTATTCTTGAATGCGATGTCTCGGCCTTCCGGTGGCTCTCGTAAGCGTAAGGCGCAGAAGCAGAGAGACCCGGGACAGGGGTGTATGAACCGGAAGTGTCAGCGTGGCAAGACGTGGAGTGGAGGGTCAGACGACGAGGCCGAGGACGACGAGGACGACACGCATGGTTCTGGTGGCCATCATATGCGTACCGCAAAGTCCCCTATTCTGCAACGCGCGCTGGAGCATTTGCCGACGGACAAGGCGTGGAAGGTGAGCGGGCATGTTTCCGGAGGGGTCTATTGAACCGTCTTCGATTTGAAGTGCACTGATGTGCAATTGACGCTCATCGGATGACGCTTACTTTGTTCATCGTGTACACCATACGTGCGCAGAGGGTTTGCGAGCTCGCCAGGGTGCACATGTTTCTCAACAGGCCGACGTCGACGATGACCTTCTACCCGAGCAGCGACGATAAGACTCATGGAGTGTGTGCGGTGCTGGACCGCCTGCCGCATAGCTTCGCTTGCTTGGCGTTGGCGGCTGACAAGTCGCGACGCGCGGACCTCAACAAGACGCTCTCTGAGTGGAAGACGCGGGCCGCCGCCCGCGTGCGAGACATTGCACTTCCCAAGCTCGGCTTGTTCCGCGACGACAGGGACGCATCCAGCCCATGGGCACCAGAGAAGGAGCGCAGTATCGAGAAGATCCGGGAGCGCATTGGGCTTGGCGCTGACCGCCCTGGTGAGTGCCATGAAGACAGCAGGTGGGGTCGCCTACGTGTTGGTATGCTGACAATGAGTGTATGGCGGCCATTGACACTGACTGTACGCATGTGGTGTGCAGAAACCCTGGTGCTCACGAGCTGGGCGACAGACCGGGACGGCATGCCGTTTGCCTCTCGGGCGTTTGCGACATGCGCGAAGGCTGCATTCAGGCCTAAGAAGGCCGGGCTGGTGATGACTCTGAAGGTGTACCACCTGGCCTGGTTGGAGCATGTGGTGAGTTTGTGCGCTCAATGTGTGCACGGTTTTTGCATTGTACTGTCGTACCATTTGAGTGACAAGCTGGGTGTTTCCGCAAGTCTTTGACTGCGTCCTCTACTGGGAGGAGAGGAAAGGCCGGCTTTCCAACTCGGCCGGGGAAACGCCCACGTTGTGGACGGCCTCAAGGTCCTGGTGAAGGAGGCCGTGGAGAGGGCGATCCGGATCCGCAACCCGGAGTATGACGCGGAGCGCGAGGCGTGGACCTGGGGCCGCCATGGACTGCGCATCTCTGCGTGCGGCCTGGAGCACATGAAGCCCACCGCCGCAGCTCAGTCCGAAGACCTCGTGAGGGATGACGACCTTTCGGCGTCAGTTGGTGCTGAGTAGGCCGACTGGCGTGGGGGCCGTCATGGATCGTGTTGCGGACCGTTGAGGGGACAGGTGGTGGAGAGGTGTCTCAGGCATCATTATCTCTTCTAGTTGTGGGTCCTGAGTAGCAGTTTAGTGTGCACGGGTTTTTGCATGTGTGTTAATGGAAGTTACGGGGGTTAGTTGTATGCATGGTTGCGTAGTATGTTTGTGTGTATGTGAGGAGGCTTTATTGGGGTATTGATGCAGATGATAGCACAACACCTACACCACTAGGATGCGGAATGCATCAGCCAGGCCGTCCACCAGGTGTGCGGGATGGCGTGGAACGCGCCGCATGTTGCGGATGATTTCATGCCTCGTTTTCGCTGCCTCGATTTGGCTCTTCTCGCGGTAGAGATCGTTCGTCGAGCAAACTCACTTCCGAAAGAGATACCGTCAGTGCTGTCGTTGAGTTGCGAGTGTTACCTCGACTACGATGCGGAAATCCTTTTGCGAAATCAAACTGATCCAGGTGCACCCAGCCTAGGATCGTTTGCTGATCGAATACTGATCGATGTAACAGGAGCGACAGATCAATCCTTCGTCAACTCAAAATGCGAAATCCTGGATCCAATTCGTGACACCGCACCATCCAACGGATTCACGAGTGTTCATCTGTCTCGCTGGGTTTGCATCTTGTAAATGCTCACAAGTACCTCATCGCGCCAGGCGCGCCTGCTCCGATCGATGCAATAATAAGCGCGGTTCCAGGCAAAGGTGGGTCAGTGCATTGTCGTAAATCGTTATCTCCCACTGATGTGATAGATATCGATCAGGGAGCAGGCCTATTTGGCTTCCGCTTTAACTCACTCCTGCTCGTCATAGAGAATGTTGAAGCCAGTCCTCTTCATGCACAATAACGGTGTATATGATGTCACGTCGAAATACACGACGATGAACAGGAAACGTTCAATCACCTTCTGAGGCTGCGAAGCTCCCGTTCATGCCTTATGTCGAGTGCCATCTGCGGTTTCAGAGGTTCTGTCGTCTCAGCGATTTTTTTCGTTCCGTCTCCTTCTTCTTCGCTGGTCGGTAGGTTTTTTTCTCATCGTCCACGTAAGATTAAGATTTCGTGTTGATTCTTCTCATCTTCATTTGCCATCCTGTCCTCATCCCTCACTCCTCTCCGTTTCACCTCCCTTCCTCCTCCTCGATTCTTTTCCCTCCCTCCTCTCCGCTTCCCCTCCCCTCCGTTATCCAGTTGACAGCGTTGAAATGCCCGTCCATTCGTGCGCTCGGCATTGCCACGTCATTCCGCCACTAGGTCATTTCTGAAGCTGTCACACGCAACGATTGGAGGCCTGGTGGGTGCCTCCTCTTCTATAAGGATCCTCATTCTTTGCTAAAAGTTTCTCATGTGTGTGTTTGTGGAACATCTGTGGTTTACGTATCTGTTGCCCCTTCATTTCCATGCCTTGTGTCTTATGATTCAGCATCGCTTCCCCCCCTTCCCTCGTTCCCTCTCGCTTCCAGTGCACAGCAGCAGGTCGCCCAGACATGCAAGTCGTTCAGAAGACACACCACCGCTCTCAACCGTGCCAACTTTAGCATATGCACTCTGCTCTGTTGCCTCTTCGCTCTTGCGCCTTCCTTTTCCCCTGCACCCATGCCTTTCGTTTAGGATTCTCAAAGTGACTTTCTTGCTCCTTCCCTTTCCTTGATCTTGTAGTGAACCCTCCTTTCTTCCTATCACATCACCTGTGTTTTCGCTTCCTTTTAAGGCACTCCCAGCGCCTCTCTGCCGGCGTGCTCCTCCTCTCTGGGCGCAGACGGGCTAGCAGGAGCGCTGCTGTGCAGCCTGCTCTACCCGCAACCCCACGTGCTGAACCCGCTGCTGGCGTCACTGGTACCCTGGCTTCCACTCATATCGCTGCTGCTAGTGGGGGGGATGGAAGTGGGGGGGGGCGTGGGGGGGGAGGCTGGGGGTAGCAGGCAATTGGGTGGAGCAGCAGAGAAGGGGGCGGAGCGGAGGGCGTGGGAGTGGATGTCTGAGGAGGTGGTGAGGAGACCAGGGTTGACTAGCATCGTTCGGTTCAGGCCCATGACCAACCTCGGCCAGGCAAGTGCGTGCAGGAGTGCTTGACCCTTGTTTCCATGCACCCCCATACCCTCCCTCCCATCCCTCCCCTCCCTCCCCTCCCTCTTTTCTCTCATCTCCCTGCCCTTGCTGTGCCGCTCGCCCCCCAAGACTCCCTATCATTGCTCTGCTAATGTCCCTCCCTCGTGTCTGACGTGGCTGCGATTTGATTTGATTCGTGCCAGTGGGTGGGAGCATGATGACGACAGCATGGCAGCCCTGTGGGAGCGAGACGCACCTGCTACTGAGATAACAACTGGCATGGTACGCAGTGGCTCACATGCTCGCACCTCTCATGCTGGCATCTTCCCGTGTTGGTGAGGTTGGAAGAGGAGAGAGGTAGGTGATGAGGGTTAGGAGGGAGAGCGGAGTGGAGTGGAGCAGAGTAGCATGTGCTTGTTGAGGTAACAACATTGTGGAGCATTGTGCTTGCTGCGGAGGAGGCAACAACATTGTGCTGTTGAGTGGAGCAGAGTAGCATGTGTCATGTCATCATCCCATATGCCATGTCATCATCCCATATGCCATGTCATCATCCCATATGCCATGTCATCATCCCATATGCCATGTCATCATCCCATATGCATGTTATCATCTCATATGCATGCCATCATCCCATATGACATGTCATCATTCCATATGCCATGTCATCATCTCATATGCCATGTCATCATCCCACATGCCATGTCATCATCCCATATGCCATGCCATCATCCCATATGCCATGTCATAATCTCATTTGCCATGTCATAACTCCATACGCCATCATCCTAGTCGCCATGTCATCATCCCATCTGCTGCTGAATTGCCTCAACAGTCTGAGCAGAATGGACTTGCCTCTCAACACAGTCTAATGTACTCAAGGCCAATAGGCCAATAGGCAGTTCTGCACCGAAGTCATTTCCTCTGCCTCTTAACATTTCCTCCTGAGCTTGTGCCAGCCCTTCTGTTAGCCGGTCAGCTTTGCCTCACTCACTCCCCACTCCACCTCATCCGCCTCCCTGTCACACCCCCTTCCCTTGCCCTTGCCTTCACCTCTCCGCCCACTGCTCTGACCAGCCATTGCAAGGGTCACAGGTGCACTGGCGCAGCAGTGGTAGCGGAACGTGGAGAATGCGAGAGAGGCAGCAGAGGCAAGGCAACGAGCAGAGCGACTCCTGAAAGACATTGAAGCCCACTACACCGGCAGGAGCACCTCGCAGCAGGACCAGCAGGAGCAGCCTCTGCCTGTGAGGGAGGTGCTGTGGAAGAGAAGGCATCAGAGGGACGTTCAGGAGGAGGACTTGCAGCGAGGGAGGAGATTTCCCTGTGTTGTTGCCGCTTTTCAGGAAGCCTCCCTTGCTGGTGTGCCGGAGCGGGCAGCAACGGACCAGGCCTGTGCTGACGTGGCAGCGGTGGCGGCTTTGACTGGCCACTCTCCCGAGGCTAACGCTGCGATAGGTTCGGATGGTTGGTGGCTCGGCGGGAGACCCAGGAGGGGCGGACTGGATTCCTGCTCTGGGGGAGCCTGTGTATGTGAGGAGGTTCGGCACCAGCATGCGTGGTACGGTGGTGGCAGTGGGTGGTGGTTCGGGAGAAGGCTTGGCAGAAGCAGCCGCTGCTCGGTCTGTGACGGTTCAACTGGGGAATCTGCGATTGCAAGTGCAGAGAGCAGACATCCTTCCCGCCGCCGATGGCAGTGGTGATGGTAGGACTGATGGAGAGGCAGGAAGGAGGGGGCCCACAGGAGGGCTGTTTGGCAGCGAATGGGAGCAAGAGGATGACAGTAACAATAGCAGCAGCATGAATAGTACTAGGGGATTGAAGCGTGGTGGTCAGTTCCCCTCCCCGTCCTCCGCCTCTTCCACTCCTCTGCCAGCAGTGAGGGAGGCAGCAGTGCAGACAGCACGAAACACAGTGGATGTGAGGGGGCGGAGTGCAGAGGATGCATTAGCAGCGGTGGACCTAGCAGTGCAGTCCACCCCGGCTGGTGCTGTGCTCTTCATTGTGCATGGGCTTGGCACGGGTGTGCTTCGGGCAGCTGTGCTGAAATATCTCTTCCGGAAAGCAGGTTGAATATTGGCTGTACTATAGCATATATTGGTTGAGAAGGATTTGTGGTGCAGTTGCAGTGCTATTGGTGGAGATGTTGCTTACACATACCAGTAGTGGCCTGGCCGCTGCCAAACCCAACACCGGTAGGTTCAGCTACTTTTGTGGGGCATATCTACACCAACACATCACTCCGTTAAAGTACCTACGGAAGTGGCTTGAGAAAGTAAGGACTCGTATTTTTACCAACACATCACATCACGTCACAAAGGTATGGCACGGCAAGTAGCCGGAGTAAGCAAGATCACGTAACGAATACGGTACCGTAATTACCCAGTAAACTCAGGGTCCTTCCTTCTGGCTGGTGCCAAGATTTTGAGGGCCAGGACCGGAAGAGTTGCTGACTATTAGCTACCTACAACTGTCTTTCCTACTCACTAAACGTCCCTCCTACCTACCAGTAACCTGCTCCCGGAATCTGGAGATGTCAAATATTCTGGACCAGAAGAGTTGCTTGCTAGGGAAGGTCCCGAGCGAGCTGTAGCCGTGTTGGCAAGCACCCTCAGAGACACGCCCCATGTTTATCCATCCTTTAGCTCAGCGGTGAACTGTTGGTGCAATAAGAAGAAATATTAGTAAGAACCTAATTTGCATGCGATGCCACAGAATGAGAAAAAAAACAACTACAAAGCACGGTACCCAATAGCAATACTCAAACTCACCTTTTCCTGGTCCTTCTGGAAAGATATCGCGCTAACCCCGGTCTCAAGGCGCCTTACCCATTCAGTCTCATCGAAGTAGCTAAATACTGAAAAAAGCACATTCAAAGTTTAGTCAGCACCCTTCATTCAAAAGCGACTTTTACCCGTGGTTGAAAGGCGAAAGCACTTACTATATCCACCAATCTTCCCATTGAAAGCCATCCACTTGTTTCTTCCCGTGAATAGCTTCGCTCGTTCCGCATCCGGCATGGAATCGGACATCTCGCTTTTGACGTGAACAAACTCAAAGGACTGCAGGTTGTCCTTGGGCGTCCATACAACTCCTCCGTTGGCCGTGTTGTCGCAAACACCCCAGTGGCAATTGAAGTCACCTGAACGAATGAGAAAAACAGAGCAGCAATGGGGTTCAGCCTTTGCCTAGATGAGGGGCGGACAGGATACAGAGTGTTACTCAAGCTACTACTCACCAACTCCCTTATAATGCTCATGGTTTCCTTCCGAGACATACACAATGGGATGTGTTCCCATCACCGTAGCAAAGCTTTTTGGCTTGGGGTCGTCCCAGTCAGCACCAGTGTCCCACGCCCACACAGGTCCGTTGCCGTGCTGCGCGTACCAAATGCGCTGCGGCTCGCCGGTCTTTGAGAAGCGGATTGCAATCGCCACCAGGTCCGTGATGTGGTTGTACTCCGGAGCACCCATATCAGAATTGGCATAGTTCTGAAAAGGTGAACGATAAAGACATTAGGGTTATGACTGAAATATAACAGATTGACAACCTCTCGCAAAGTATGGGGTTGAAAATGAGTGGGGGGGGTTGGGGGTGGGGGGGAGGCCGACGTGAAGACGAAGGCCGACGGCACCATTGACAAATTCTCCCGGCACGATGGGTCGTGCGTGGCTTCGACCAAGAACACGGGCGAGACTTCACCGAAACCTTCACTCCGGTTAGCCGACACACTTCACTCCGAATTCTCCTCGCAATCGCCGCCATGAAGAAGAAGAAGCTGCGGCAAATCGACGTCGCGAACGCGTTTCTCTACGCGCCTGTTGATGCAGAAATTTTCGTCGAGCTACCGTACGGCTCCCACGGAGAACCTAACCAAGTCTGCCAGCTGCTCAAGTCACTCTACGGCATCAAGCAGGCTCCGCGACTGTGGCAACAGTACCTACACGCCCGCCTCATTCGCATCGGCTTCAAGCAGCTACCGCATCTATCGGCTCACGAAGAAACTGACTACATCCTGCTAATCGTCTACGTAGACGATTTACTCTACATCGGCTCGACCGACGACATCACCTCTTGGTTCGAAGGGGAGCTGCAGCAGGACCTCACGCTCACAGTCTCATCTACCGTCACGCAGTACCTTGGCCTCAACATCCGGGAAAAGGAAGACGCGATCTACCTCAGCGCCGCGAAATACGCCGACACCATCGCCAAGCGCTTCGCACTCACACCGACCGCCATCTCTACACCGTACTGCTACACGGCAGGAAACAGCAAGGGAAGCTCCACTCTACTCAAGCCCGCCGGCATTCGACACTACCAGAGGAAGCTGGGATGCCTCCTCTTCGCAGGTGTCACCTGTCGCCCTGACCTCTCATACTCCGCAAGTCAACTCGCCACCTACCTCAAGAAACCTGAAGCGGAGCATCTGGCGAACTCGACCGCGCTCTTCACTACCTCGTCAGCACCCCAACGATCGGCCTAACCTACCACAAGAACACAACCACACCGACTAAGTTAATTGGCTACGTCGACGCCGATCACGCTGGCGACTCCGACAACAGGCGTTCGCGCACCGGCTACATCTACCGTCTCGAGCCTATCGGTCCTATCTCCTGGCAGTCGAGCAAGCACGAGTTAATCGCCCTCTCATCAGCTGAAGCAGAATATATCGCACTCTGCTCAGCCACCAAGGAATGACTCTACCTTCGCGAACTACTGGAGGAGGCGAAATTAGCCCAGTTACCCAGCTTCACCCTTTTCTGCGACAACCAGTCGGCAATTCGCATCGCCAACAAGAACGGCTTCGCGAACAGGACGAAACATATCGCCCTTCGATATTTCTTCATAAAGGACGAGATCGAGAAGGGGAGACTCCAGCTATCATACTGCCCCACATCCGAGATGGCAGCTAGCTGACTATTTGACCAAGAAGCTCGGAAAGCAGAAATTCGAGTACTGTATGCTGCTGACTGGACAAAGCCACGTCACCAGCAGCGACACTCCAGAAGCGAAGGGGAGTGTTGCAAACAAATCGTAAGCGCCTCTATCGTGTCGAAACACCTCACCAGAAGCGAAGTGAATCATAACGAGGCACCCGTGAGTCAACCCTCAGAGGTTGAGAGGTTGCTGGAGGTTACGCGAAAGTCAAAGGTCAGCGACCTTTGACCTGACAAGTGCAGCGCGACAGCAAGGACACACAACTGACTCGTGTGAAAATTTAGAAGAAAGAAGAGGGTTGCACTAGCAAGAATGAGGATACAAATAGCAAACCCTAGAAGGGTTGTACTCGCTATAGAGTACCCCACTACAGGCTAGAGCATAATATTCTGACACACCCCCATAGCCAAAGTGGGGTGTAATCAGCATAGCAAGCAAAGCAGTACAAGCTCAGGGTGGATCACAATGACACCACACATTCTGAGCACAAGTTCAAGAAGCAATAGTTTAAAGTTCACAATTATGAGCAAAGCTAGAGGCTATCGCAGAGGGCTAGTGTAGAGGAGGAGGGACTATGAGAGGAGAGGAGGTAGTGGGCGGCAGCTGAAGCTGCTGGCACACGGCGCAACTGGAGCAACTGGCACACGGGCAACTGGAGCAACTGGCACACTGGCAACTGGAGCAACTGGCACACGGGCTACTGGAGAAACTAGCTCCGCGGCTAAAAGTAGCGGCAGACGAGCAACGGACTCACGGGCGACTGGAGCAACGGGCTCACAGGCGACTGGCGCAACGGGCTCACGGGCGACTGGCGCAGCGGTCTCACGGGCGACTGGCGCAGCGGTCTCACGGGCGACTGGAGCTGCTGGCTTCTCGGCGGCCACCCCCTTCAACCTCCCCAAACTATCCCACCCCCGATTCACACACCCCCTACTGCACCCCTAGGGTCACTCACACCCCACCCCCTAGCACCACTCCGTCGACTCCCACACACCCACCCCCCTCAGCGGCAGCTGCAGCAGTGGGAGATAGAGGAGGAGGAGGAGTAGGGGAGACCACACACCCGCCACCCCCCACTCGCCACCCCCAAACCCGAACACAGGGCAGGGCGGGATGGCGGGTAGAGAGGTTACGGGGGGGGGGGGGGGGGGGGGGGGGGGGGGGGGCAGGGCCGACGCGCGGCCTCCCTGGGCGCCAAAGTAGGCGGCAGAAGGGGCGACGCTCGCCCCCCTCCCCCAGGTCGCGGCCCCCGAAGGAGCCGCGACGGGCGAAGGGAAAAAGGGGGGGGGGGGGGGGGTGCACGTGCCCCCGGTGCGCCGCGGCTGGCGACGAGGCATGGCCGGGGCGGGGCCGGGGCCGCAAGTGGCGGCGACGGGGCCGCTGGCGGCGACGACGGGGCCGCTGGCGGCGGTTCGGGGCCGATAAGAGCGGCGACGGGGGGCGACGCGCAGGTCCCCGTTGTGAAAAGAGTAAGCAGGAATGGGTGGACTATGAATGAAAGCAGTACAAATATGAAACCCTAACTGGGTTGTACCCCCTATGGGATACCCCACTACAGCCTACACAGCAGTATAAGCTATAGATATGTTCTGACACACCCCCATAGGCAAAGTGGGGGAGAACAAGGGGTCACAAGACCAGTCAAGCAAGACAAAGCAAAGCTCAGGGTGGATCACAAAGTCACCACACAGTCCGAGCACAAGAGCAAGGCCAAAGGCCAGTTCACAAGCAAGAGTACAGACATATATATAAAGCTAGACAAGTAAGAGCAGGTATATATATATGTCACAGTACAAGTGAAGTCAAGAGGAGAGCAAGTGAGGCAAGACAGGCACAAGACCCAGCTGGGTGCAAAAGCGCTGATGGTCACAAGGCGCAAGTGCCTTGGTGAACACATCAGCAGTGTTGGCCTCAGAGGCCACGTACGCAAGTCGCAACTGACCACGCTGCTGCAGCTCACGAGCAAGGAAGTAGCGGAGAGCAATGTGCTTCGTTCTGTGCTCCAAGCGCTGCTCTCGACACAAGGCCAGCATAGCCTTGTTGTCTACGTACAGCACTGGAGGAGAACGAGGCGGCTCTCCAAGGTCAGTCAGCAGGTAGGTGAGCCAGCGAAGCTCCTGTGCAGCCATGGCCCC